CTCAAGCGAAATACACTTCGAATATCGTATAAGCCTTAACCGCTATCTAATATACACTTCGGATAGCGGTTATAAGGGAACCACTATTATATCCTCTCAATTATGATCGATCATTTCAAGTTATGATCGATCAGAATCGTATTTCGCTCGAGCGAGAGTAGTGTCGCTCAAGCGAAATACAACCTGAGAATGCCAATTTTGTGCGGGGCGTTTCGCTCGAGCGAGAATATTGTCGCTCAAGCGAAATACATTTTAGATAGCGGTTCCACAAGAACCGCTCTTAAAAGTGCACTTCTAATAGCGAGTTAACCATTAACCGCTATCTAAATTATACTTTAGATAGCGGTTAACGTGGAACCGCTATCATATCTTCTCAATTATGTTCTTCTTTTCATCAATCATAATGAAAACTTACATTAACTATTTTTTTGAATATTATGTTTTTAAATTTGCTATTAGAGAAAACCTTTCGAATTCAAAATGTTAAATACTTTTAAATATTAAAATTAACTTTATCAAAAATTAGGAAAAAAAATTAATCCAAAAGAGTTCAAAAATGTATTATAATATTGTCAATTTTGAGTTTAATTATATTGTTCATTCTCAAAGTAAAAAAATATATTGTAACTAGTTTAATTTAATAAAATATAATTTAAATTTTTAATACTAAAATTAAAAGATTTCTGTTGCATGAGGTTTCTTCACTTAAAAGATTTTGCAAAATGCCTCTACAAATATTTTTAACAATTAAAAACAAAGTATTTTGACAAAAGCTTTCTCAAATGCCTCTACAAAGTATTTTTAACAATTATATTGAGTTTAATTCTACAAATTAAAAGATTAAATAATAATAAATTTAATTCTTTAAATTCAGTAGCTAGAAACTAAAATTATAGTTTCTCTGTTTTAAATAATTAAAATAAATATTTAAAAATAAAAATCAAAACTAGTATTATCTTAAATGTATTAAAAGTGTAATTAAATATCTATTTTCTTAATTTTATTTGTTTCAAACTTCTCAATTCTACATTTTTGTAAGTTCTATCATTATATTATCATCCTCATCTCCTCCCATGTTCTACTTTATCTTTACAATAGTCAATATTCTTAACTAATTTATATTTTTAATTATAATTTTTTAGTATATATTTCGAAATTAATCAATTCTAATCTATTATTTGAAAAACTAATCAATTCTAATCAATAATTTAGAAAACTAATCGATTATAATTAATTATTTGAAAATATTATCAAATATGATCGATCATTTCTAAAATCTAATCGATCAGAATCAAATATCGCTCGAGCGATACTAGAGTCGCTCAAGCGAAATACAACCCGAGAATGTCAATTTTGTGCAGGGCGTTTCAGCTCGAGCGAGAAGAGTGTCGCTCAAGCGAGATACATTTTAGATAGCGGTTACACGACGAACCGCTCTTAAAAGCTCACTTAGATAGCGGTTAACCTGGAACCGCTATTATATCGTTTCAATTATGATCGATCAGAATGCGGTTATGACCGATCGAACTATTTTAATCGATTAAATCTCGTTTTAATCGATTAAAACAATTTCTGCACAGCGTTTTAATCGATTAAAACTTATTTTTATCAGTTAAAATAACTTGAAAAGTTTTATGAGAAAGTTTTGCAGTATTTAAATCGATTGAATCGCTGAAACAATCGATTAAATCAACTTAGAATATTTTTTGTAAAGTGTTTTAATTGATATAAACGTTGTCGTATCAGTTAAAACAAATCATTAAAGAATCAAGAACGTTAAATTTTTTTTTTATAAAAGTAATTATTATATATTTTTTTATTTTATAAAAAATGATTAATAAAAGAAAATTTTATTATATTTTTCTTTTTTTAGGTGTAAAAGTATAATTAAATAAAAGATAAATATATATACTTTTGCATTTTAATTTTCAAATATTAATTTTTTTATGAAATTAATTTTAATTAAAAAAATTAAAGTGATATATATATATATATATATATATATATATATTATTTTTAATTTATTAATATTATCAAATTTTAGCTTAATAATTAAAAAAATTACCAATAATTTAAATTTTAATATATCTATAATTTTATATAATTATTAATATAAATTTAATTCTTCTAATAATATTAACACATTTATTAAATTAAAATTCTTTACTTTAATTAATTATTTTAAATTTTTTTAACGATTTTTTTTAAATAAAAACAATAAAACTTAAAATTAATTTCTAACTAAATCTTCACATATTTATGGTTAATACTATATTATATTATTATGTTTAATTAAATTTTAAAATAAGTTCACTTTATTTTTACACTTTTATATAAAAATGACTAATATAAACTTAAAATATATATCCAACTATTAAATTATCCAAGATATTAATATAAATTAAAATATCAATTCAGTAATTAAAATAATTTTAATTTTTTATAAATACATTGAAATACAGTTTTATTAACATACAAGTAATATATATATATATATATATATATATATATATATATATATATATATAAAAGAGACTAAATTAATAATTAATTTAATTATTGATTTAGTGACCGATTCAGTGATCGATTCGGTCACCGAATCGATGACTGATTCGGTGACCGAATCAATGACCGATTCGGTGACTAATTTAATAATCAATTTTAATTTTTTTATTCACATGCTAAATTAAAAAATAAAATAAAATAATTATATTACTAAATTATTTAATAAGTTAGTAAACTATTTTTTTAAAATTTTTATAATGTTATTAACAATGTTATCACTTATTTTAAATTATTAAGTAGATTTATATTTAAAATATTTTAAATAAAATATTTATATAAATGAAAAATAGTTATCAATTTAAAAACTATTTTTTTAGTGATCTGAAAATTTAGTCACTAAATCGGTTACTAAATATAAAAAAAATTCAGTCACCACTTTCGGTCACTATTAACCATTTTTCTAGTAGTGATTGAATCAGTGACCGATTCGGTGACTGAATCAGTGACCGATATCTGTGACTAAAATTTTAGTCACTAAATCAGTCACTAAATATAAAAAGGGAAATCAGTCACTGATTCAGTTACTATCAGTGACTGAATTTTTCAGTCACTAATTTCGGTCACTATTTGGTGTTTTTCTTGTAGTGACCACTTCTCGTCCAACTTGCATGTGTAAGGCATGCCGTCAGTGTTCATCCTGAGCTAGGATCGAACTCTCCATGAGATTTCTAGTTGCATTACTTATAGGTTCCTTGTTCGTAGACAAAGCTAATTTAGAATTCTCTTTCATTCCAAGGCATAACTTGTATCTAGACAATCCATATTCAATTGGAGTTTGCTCCCAGAAATATACCCCCGTTCATGCAATCCCACGAGCCTCTTATCCATTATCAATTCTTATTCGATAACGACATCCAAATAGAAAAACTTACATTGCATTTAGAGATAATCAGGCTTGAATTGATAACTTCCACCATGTTAAGGTGACACTCTACCACTAAGTTAAAAATTTAAAAAGTCTGTATGACATGATCAATCAATAAAAATATTCTAACACTCTACCTTTGTCATGTATTTCATATATCACACTGAATAAATATCATATTCATGGAATATGATTCTCTTTCAAGATGCCTTGGTGATGAAATGGTAGATACGCGAGACTCAAACTCTCGTGCTAAAGAGTGTGGAGGTTCAAGTCCTCTTCAAGAAATAATATTGAGATCTCTCATTGAATTGGAATAAGTTTGATAGTGAATTACGAAATCTTGGTGATCTTCTCTATCTAATGAATGGGTAATCTATTTTGAAATAGTCCACCTTGCACCCTCCCCTCCCCAAGGAGTATATGCTTCAACAAGAATCACATAAGAGTATATTGATACAATAAAAACCTCTGGTAAAATACTCACTCGTAATGCAGCGAGTGGATAAAGTACATTAAATAGTTCGTTTTAGGGATTGACAACTTACCCATTCAATGAATTTGGCACCGGACATTCCCAAAATGGATAGTGTACTTTTGGATCGAGTGAATTCAAAATATAGATGTCTGTTGACATTCCAACCTTCCTTCTCCTTTCAAGGCCAATCTGGAAAAAAAAATTCAATACTTCTTGGTTGTGAATATTCGAAAACCACCCTGTGGATCTCTTTCCTTTGGAACAAAACAATTTGAATTAGGCTCGATCAATTGGAATGTGTATTATCGATATAAAATATCTTTCAATTAAGAAGATCCATTGATTTGAGACGAAGAGAAAGAAAGGTCTATCTTTTTTTTTGTTTAAGTTATTCAGTTAAACCAATGATTTGTCAATGGAGCAGATAACAACAATCATCTCATTTAGGAAAAGCCATCTTTTTCTCAACAATGTATTTGTCATTAGATAGAAACATATTTGATAAATATTGATAACTCTCAGATAAAGTATTAGAACGGAAAAATCTTATAGATGATGAACTATTGTTTCTAAGTTATCTCTGGCAATGAATCAACAATTCAAACAATAAGAAGAATATAGGCTCTTCGGGAATGTATAACTTTAGAAATTTCAACAATTTGTTTAAGTGATACAAATTGTGACCCAGACCACGCCGAAATTTCAATTCTAGCTAATGATGATGTTATAACCTCAATTCGATTAATTCTCAACAAATTAATTTTTGCAATTTGTGAGGGTCATTCTTGATATATACAAATTTTTTTATTAAGAATAAGATAAAAAGTGAATGAATTTTCTTCAAGGGGTTCATAGATTTATCGAACCAGTTACTATACTAGTAATAAATTGCACAACTAGTAATAAATTGCATAAAAAATCAAAATAAAATATAAAAAGAAAAAACAAACATTTTATGTAATTAGAATCGGTATTAAAAATCCAAAATGAAAGTAAAAAAATCACAAGGGAAAGGAGATGTTTGAATCAAAATAATTCCCTTTTTTCAAGTTCTTATTTTTTTAGAGGACAGGACAATATGAATGTTTTATTATGCTCTATCAACACATTAAAAAGATTATACGATACATCTATTGTGGAAGTAGGTCAACATTTCTATTGGCAAATAGGGGTTTCCTAGTACATGCCCAAGTACTTATTACTTCTTGGGTTGTAATTGCTATCTTATTGGTTTCAGCCATTCTAGTTATTCGAAATCTGCAAACCATTCCCGCTTTCGGTCAGAATTTCTTTGAATATATTCTTGAATTCATTCGAGACGTGAGCAAAACTCAGATTGGAGAAGAATATGGTCCGTGGGTTCCTTTTATTGGAACTTTGTTTCTATTTATTTTTGTTTCGAATTGGTCAGGGGCTCTTTTACCTTGGAAAATTATACAATTACCTCATGGGGAGTTAGCTGCACCCACAAATGATATAAATACTACCGTTGCATTAGCTTTACTTACATCAGTTGCATATTTCTATGCGGGTCTTTCAAAAAAAGGATTAGCTTATTTTAGTAAATACATCCAACCAACTCCAATCCTTTTTTCCAATTAACATCTTAGAAGATTTCACAAAACTCTTATTCCTTATTTTTTGACTTTTCGAAAATATACTAGTTGATGAATTAGTAGTTGGTGTTCTTGTTTCTTTAGTACCTTTAGTAGTTCCTATACCTGTCATGTTCCTTAGATTGTTCACAAGCGGTATTCATGATCTAATTTTTGCTACTTTAGTTGTGACTTATATAGGTGAATCCATTAAAGACCATCATTGACTAGTTTTCTAAAAAATAGTCCTTTTTGTTTAGCTTGCCACACATATATAGTGGCTCAAGAGAATATACTAAGTAAACATCTATCTATATATTTATAGATATATAGATAGAGATAGATCTATTTGTTTACCATATATTAGTAGATATTGGATATTAAAAAAAATGAATAGCTAGAATTATAATTTTTTATGATATTTACTTTAACGACGTGTGATAACAAGATACTATATAGAACTAAAGTATATTCCTGTTACATTTACATTCAAAGATTGATCAAAAGAGAATTAAAAACATTTTGATCACCCAAATTCTGATATTTCTTTGAAACAATAATAAAATCTAACAAATTGATTTAGATTGATTGTATCCATATGGAATAATAATAAAAGAGGAAAGGGTAACTAAAAAAAATACGATACAAAAAAGTAAAAGTGAGGGGGTCAAGGTCGGTGTATATAATCTTATCAATAACTCTTTCTTTGTTTTTGAGGTTTTAAAGAATGAATTTCGAATTCAATTGAATCTAAAACACAAAGAAAATGAGTTTATAGCATAGAAGAAACTTATGTATATGTGATATGATATAGATGAACTAGTTATAGATGAACTATCCATATATCTAATAATTGGCTGAATCTCGTGAAACCATTTCATAGAAGTTCATTTATATACTATTTTTATAAAGCAAATCGACTTTGATTCTTGAATAATCAATATCACTTCTGCTTCTATTGTAACAAAAGATTCCCTTTTTTATGTGGAAAAGACCTTATCAATAATTATGATTTTACGTATGGACAATTCTTCAAAATCTTATTCATTCCCAACAAAATCTTTTCTTTTTGCAATGGTAAAAAAAAAACATGTTTAAAGAGAGATATTATTTCACCAATCGAATTACAGGTATCTAACATATTGATACCTAATAATTTTCCGCAACAAATCTGAATGCATAAAAAATAGTATTTATGGCTATGCAAACCATTGAGGATAATTTGAGAACTGGTCCAAGGCGAATTATTGTAGGGAACTTATTGAAAACTTTACATTCAGAATATGGTAAAGTAATCCCCGGGATGGGGAACTACTCTTTTAACAGGTGTTGCAATGACTCTATTTGCAATATTTCTATCTATTATTTTGGAGATTTATAATTCGTCCATTTTATTGGACGAAATCTCTAGGAATTAGATTTACAAGAATCGAGTAATTAGTTTTCATAAAAAGTGAAACTTTTAGGTTTCTTATTGTTTGTTAGTCTATTCCATTTTGATTTGGTAGTTTGATTATAGAATTTTTTCATTTTTGTATTTTCGGAATATGATTGTGACTTATTTTAATTGGTCCTATTGAAAGTACAAAACATAAAATGGATTTGTCATCTTGATAGAGATAAGTTTATTCCGTTAGATATTTAATCTAGTATTTGGAGCATGAAATATACAAAATAGATTCTAAAAATATTAAAACTATGATTCATACTAAATATTTAGACCTCACAACTGGACTTAAAAACCTTTTCAAAGAGTTGTAAAAATCAATTTAAAAATTTTCATCTTTTCAAGCTTATGAAGCTTGTCTTTATTCCATAAAACGAGAAAATGGTATAGAAAAATCAATAAAAATATTGATCCAAATTGTTAAGAGTTTCATTGAAAAAGTTTTTCTCTTGTTCATAGCAGCGGTGACAAAATTATATCAAGAGACTTGTATTTTGAAAATTATTGCTAACAAGATGAAGGCTTTAATTGAGTTTTATAATTTGAATCACCACTTTTTATTGATTTTCATTGTCAATTTTTTTTTCTATTTGTGATATTTTATAATTTTTCCTCTAATTTCAATTCTTTATTTACATTTTTCATCTTAATAAAATTCCATCAATTAATTAAACATGAAATAATCCTTAACGTTGAAGTTCCCAATTAAAATTATCTTATAAATATCTCTATTAAACTAAAACATGAGAGATTCATTAAATTTATCTTATAAATATCTCTATTAAACTTGTTGAATATAGAAGAAATAGAGTTTGAGATTGATCTTCCTTGTGTATAAATCACACATAGGGTAGTCTATTTATAATAGAGAGATACAACTAAAAGAGTAACTGAAAAGTAACAGAATAAACAGAAGATATTGTTTGATATTGTGGTTAACAATATCTTAATAATATCAAATAATATCTAAACAATATCTAACACTCCCCCTCAAGCTGGAGCATACAAATCGTATGTGTCAAGCTTGTTACAAATATAATCAATTCTAGGACCCCGTAAAGATTTAGTAAAAATATCTGCTAACTAATCACTTGAGTTAACAAACTCGGTCTTGATGTCTCCGGACATAATCTTTTCTCGAATGAAATGACAATCAATCTCAATGTATTTGGTCCTCTCATGAAAGACAGGATTAGAACTAATATGAAGAGCAGCCTGATTGTCACACACAAGTGACATTTGAGTGACATCTCCAAATTGTAACTCTCTAAGCAATTGCTTGAGCCAAACAAGTTCACAGGCAGCTGAGACCATAGCTCTATATTCTGCTTCTGCACTAGATCTTGCCACAATACTCTGTTTCTTACTTTTCCATGAGACCAAGTTACCACCAATGGAGACACAGTATCCAGATGTAGATCTTCTATCCGAAGGAGATCCTGCCCAATCAACCTTTGAGTAGCAAACAAATCTTGTATGGTTATTAGAATCATATAACAATCCTTTTCTAGGAGATCCTTTAATATACTTTAAGATACGAATGACTGCATTCCAATGATCTTCACATGGGAAATTAAGAAATTGGCTTACCACACTGACTGCAAAGGATATGTCAGGACGAGTAATTGTAAGATAATTCAATTTTCCAACCAATCTTCTATACTGCTCAGGATCAGGTATAAGCTCCCCCTGATTTGGTAGAAGTTTAGTATTGGGATTCATGGGTGTATCAACAGACTTTGAACTCATCAACCCAGTTTCCTCCAAAATATCCATGGCATACTTCCTCTGAGATATAACAATACCATCATTGGACTGTGCCACCTCAATACCCAAGAAATATCTAAGTTTGCCAAGATCTTTGGTCTGAAAATGGTGATAGAGATGTTGTTTCAACTGAGAGATGCCATGGTTGTCACTACCTGTAAGAACGATGTCATCAACATATACTATCAAGTAAACACATCCAACACTTGAGTGTTGATAAAAGACAGAGTGATATGCTTCACACTGAGTCATACCAAATTGTTGAACAACCTTGCTAAACTTTCCAAACCAGGCCCTAGGAGACTATTTTAGGCCATATAGGGATTTGTGAAGACGACATACCATCCCAGAAGACTCCCCTTGAGCAACAAACCCAGGAGGTTGCTCCATATAGATTTCTTCTTGCAAATCACCATTGAGGAAAGAATTTTTAACATCTAGTTGATAAAGAGGCCATTGTTGAAGAGTGGCCATGACGATAAATAAATGAACAGAAGTCATATTTGCCACGGGGGAAAAGGTATCTCCATAATCCAACTCAAAAAATTTGAGTATAACCTTTGGCCACAAGACGAGCTTTGAGGCAATCAATAGTACCATCAGGTCTAACTTTGATAGCAAACACCCACCTGCAACCAACAACAGATTTCCCAGACGGTAACGAGACCAATTCCCAAGTTCCACTATTATGAAGAGCACTTAGTTCATCTAACATGGCCTGACGCCAAACAGGATGGGCTAAAGCTTTACGGACAGTTTTTGGAATGGTCATAGAAGAAAGAGAGGAAAGACATGTATAAAAGGGTAATGACAGTCGATGATAACTCAAACCAATATAATGGGGAGAGGGATTACGTGTAGAATAGATACCTTTTCTGAGGGCAATGGGAAGGTCAGACTCAGGTGTCACATCCAGAGGAGACAGAGTAGTTGACACTTGAGAAAGTAACATGGTGGTGGTTGTGATTGGTTTCGACAACTATAAACCTGAAGAGGCAGTGAAGAAGAAGCTGACTGCGGAGCAGAAACTAATGGTGAAGAAGACACAGCTAGAGGGTCACAAACAACAGGAACATTAAATGTACTAGGAGTGTTGACAAGATTGGATGGAGACAGAGGTGAAGATTGACTTTTAAAATAAAAAGAGAACTCATCAAAGGTGACATCTGCAATTACAAAATAACGGTTAAGAGAAGGAGAAAAACATTTGTATCCTTTTTGTGATCTTGTAAATCCTAAGAAAACACATTTATGTGATCTAGGAGAAAGCTTGTAAAGACCAGAACTGAAATTATGAACAAAACATGTAGACCCGAATGTTAGACAAATGACATCTAGAGGGGGGTGAATAGATGAACAAATTAAAATAGATGTCAAATTAAAAATTTATTTGTGAGTCAATAATTTGTTTGAACACAGATAAAACGGAAGCGATAATATAATCAGGAAAAGAGAAAGAGATAAGGGAAAGAGAAGAGCACACAATGATTTATACTGGTTCGGGTATAGCCAACCCTACATCCAGTTCCCAGTCAACTCTTAACACAAGAGTGATTCCCCATTCACTATCTTTCAAATTCAGTTTACAAATTACAATCAACTCAGCAGAAGAACCAGTAAAAAGTAAACTAATTAAAAAGACAATCACCTCCTTAGAAACCCACTAAGGATGAACACCTCCCTAGAATCCCACTAGGGATAAACACCTCCTCTGAACAAATCAAAGGATGAAAACACCTCCTTAGAATCCCACTAAGGATGAACACCTCCCTAGAATCACACTAGGGATGAAA